CCTTCTCTGGACTAGCCTCCCTCACCTTTATGCACACACATACATGCACACACACGCACACACTCCAGATTTTATGCTCTAATTATACAGAACTACTTGTAATCTCCAAACATGTCCTTCTGGCTCTAGACAATGCCCTGGATTGCTCCTCCCTTTGTTTATCTTCTTAACTCCTTACCCCTTGGGGTCACCTCTGTGAGAACCACTTATCTGGTGTCACTTCTGCCCCTTCTCTCACCCTTGTCTGGCTATGCTCCCTGCTCTGTCTCCCCAGAGTGCCTGCAGTGTCCCTGCCATGCTGTGCCCGGGACAGTCTATACTCTTTCATCTCTCCTGTTAGACCATGAGCACAATGAAGGCTTTATGTCCCTTCGTGCTTAACAGTGTGTAGGGTACACACCAAACATTCAATAATTATCTGTTAAAGGTATGCATGAACAAATGAATGAGTGATGAGAAATATGCTTTTATAGCCTCACAGGTGTTCATAGGTCAGTTTCTCAAAGTATAGTCTTCAGATAACCTACATCCAAGTCATCTGGGCTGTTTATTAAAATGCAGATTTCAGGGCTTGCTCTGCACCTCCTAAATAGGAACCTCTGGGCATGTGGCCTGAGAATATGAATTTCAACAAGCATCCAGGTGATTCTTATACCTATCAACTCTTTGAATAAGTGCCTGAGATCCACAAGTCCAGGTTTTGCAATATTCAGAAGGGCCCCAGCGAGAAACATGTTTCTATTCCAATTAGTCACCATCAAGCATATACTTAGTAAATGCAGTTTCAGCCAGACACTGCTCTTTGAACAATCTTCAGAATTGTGAAACATTCGCTGTGTGCGGGTGTAGTGTCCATCCTCTCCCACCTAGTCCCCATGAGGCAGGGCTGGAGGCATGCCTGATCACAGGCTTGCTTGTGGCAGTGGCACATGCAGGCAGGCAGGGGGCTTCCCTGCTCTGTATCTGCCTAAAGAGGTGAGCTGATGCAAAGAGATCCTCACAGTCTTCTCAGATGCCAAATTGGTGTATAAAACACAGTATGTCATTATCATTTTAATATACTTTTATTGATTACTAGTGTGACAGAATGCTTCATATAAAAATGTTCAAGGTGGCAAGAATAGATGCCACGCTGCATAGGTAGCCAATGTAAATGTAATTCATATAATTTCTTTCCTTTTTGATACCCAACTTTTCCTCAACAATCTGTGCAATTTTGAAAAATGAGCATGCTCATTCCATATGCCAGTATAGGAGACTGTATCAATAGCAAAGTGTAGGCAAGCAGGAGACGTACAGAAAAGCATGCATGCTACCTGTGAGCACTCTAAAGCATTCTCTGGTAGATTTTGCACAAATATAAGTGGATGGACATATTAGCTCTATTCTGCGTACTTCATATGACAGCTCTGCACCTCTGTTTTCCCACTGGTGATATCAGTGTTACACTCGATTGCAGGTGAATAGCATGGGAAAAAATTTGAGCACCTGTTGCCGATCTTCTCCTTTTGCAGATGTGCACCCTGAGACCTGACTGCTGCAGGACTTACTGTCATGGGCTTCCATGGAATGCTCCTCTAAGTTTAGCTCAAGCATTTTGGATTTCCAGACAAACTGTTCCTCATACATAGGTCCAGGTTTCAGCACATCTTAGTTATTTACCTAATCAGGAGTGATAACATCTCATCTAGCTGATCATAAAGAAATTCTACTTATGAAGCAGAAGTTCCACTCTTTCTACAATGATCAATAGACTCAGGGCATAAGAGATTTCTTAAGCATGAGTAAACTGGGGTTGGGGCCCTCCCAGGGCTGATTTAAATGGAAGAGGGGGTAATAGTTCACTTGGGTTCATTTACTAGTTTTTAAAATGCCATTCTTTTCCAGCAGAATCAATGCTTAAGCTATTAACCCTGCTCTCATTAGACATTTTTCTTGTAGTTTGGTTTGTTCTCATTGTTACTTAGTTCTTCCCAAAGGAAAGCACCAGAACACCATGAGAATGCACTCCAGCCCCTGCTGTTGAGGCCACAGAGTTTGGGTGAAGGTGGGACCCTCTGTGGAGTGAGGGGTTTTGGAGGTACATAGCACAGAAGTGGTGCTGCCATTCCACATCTCACAAGGTGGACTTGAAAAAAAGTTTGAACAGCCTGGCATAGTCCTCCTAACAGTGCTGATGGGAGTGTGAACTGGTGCCACCTGTGAGGGGGGCAATCTAGCAGTAGTTACCAGAGTTTAAAATACTCACACCCCAGACTGGAAATTCTATTTCTAGGAATTTAACCTACAGATTTACTTGTGTATTCAAAGGGGCATATGTCCAGGATGGTCACCGCAGCATCATTTGTCATGTCAAAACATTTGAAAACAACACTAATTAAGAGGAGATTGCTCCAATAACTTGTAGTACAACTGTGCAAGTGCTCAGTCTGAATCTATTAATAAGAGTGGGACAATTCTATGAAAAGTGACTTGGAAGGGTTTCCAAGATGGACTGTTAAAGGAAAAAAAAACTAGTTGCAAAATAGTAAGTATAGGAATATGCTGTTCGTATAAACAAAAAGACTATGTATAAAGCAAGCTTATGCATTATTTATAGAATATCTTCAGAAGGACATATTATAGGAAAAGCAAAGTCTCCCCTCTACCCTCTTATTAGAGTGTCCAGCTAGGCCTGAGAATTGAGTTGACAGACTCCAGATTAACAGGAGAAAAGCAAACAGATTTTATTTTCACATGTACTTGGTAGCCTTCACAGGAAAATGAAGACCTTAAAAGTGGTTAGGTTTAAGTGTTTATATACTAGGCTGAACAAAGAGTAGTAATTGTGAAAAAGCAACTAAAATATATAGGGAGGCTAAAGGAAGATAAGGGTTAGTTTACTAAAGTTTGTTTGTATAGATTTCTCTCAGCTTTGCCTCCTTATCTCTGGTGATAAGAATGTTCTTTTCTTCCTGACATAGGGTGGCCATCTTTTATATGAGAGTTTTATTGCCTGCTTTCAGGAAGAAAAGGAAAAACCCAAGTACCCTATTTTTCAAGTGTCTTTAACTCAAAGTAATTCCCATGCTGAGGTGGCATGTTTGGGGGTACATTTCTGGCACTCCTTGATACAAGCTTATGGTTATGGTGGCTGCCTTTGGGCAAGGCTAGGGGACTTCATGCAATGCCTCAGTCTCAATGATTCCTCAGTTTAATGATTCCTTTATCCTCAGTGTTTCCTTTTTTTCATTTTTATTTTCCACAGCTTGTCTAGTAGTAGTTCCTGTCAATTTTACCTCCTCTTGTTTAGATTCCATTATGTCTCCCTGTCCTCCCACTTCCTTCTGCCACCCCATCCAAAGTCATCACCCCTCAACAGAACCACGAGGTGGCCACATGACTGATCACTCTCCTGCCACTCTTGGCCCTTTCCAACCTACTATCCAGCCAGCAGCCAGTGTCATCTTTGAGAAATGACCCTTCCTTGCTTTCTATTGTAAATAGACTAAAACCTAATAGCCCTACCAAGGCATCTAAGGTCCTATTGTTCTGAGCACTCCTACTTTCTGAATTTGTGTCAGTCATACTGATCTCTTCTCTCTCCTCCATGCCTCTCAACCTTCCTTTTCCCTGAAAACTTTTCTCTCAGCTTTTCAATGATGCTCCATTTCTACCCTTCAATTCTCAGGGTTTTTCTAAAATAATGCCCCCAAGTTTCTCTCTGCCTTGTCACCACCCTGTTTTTCTTTTTTCTCTCAGCATATATTACAATTCATAATAGTTTATCGGTTGACATGTTTGTCTACTATTCTTCTACTTCTACTGGGCATTAAGTGCCATGGGAATAATATTCTTGCTTATCTTGTTCCTCGCTCTATGCTCAGAGCCTGGCTCAGGGCCTGGCATGTAGTCAATGCTGAATTCATAACTGTTGAATTGAGAAATGTCTGACCAAATGAATGAAGTTGTAAATGAGTCCATGTTGAAAGTGGCTCTGAGGGTGGTTTTAGGGCCTACTCCAGTAGATGCAGAAGAGACCAGGAGCCAGCTGCCTGCAGCAGCCTGCGTTACAGGAACTAAGTAAGACCCTTGTCTCATCCTCAGTTAGAAAAAAACAGTTCAGTAATGACTTATCCTGGACTATAGTGGTGAGTACTTATCTTGGAACGAGTCTTTGGTGGCCCTGATTCTCACTTTGAGTAATCCCATTTGAAATGGAAGTTATAGACAACTTACTCAGGGCCTGCTCTCCAGATTTCACTGCTGTGCCCTCATCCTTGCTCCCAATGACGAACAGGAAACTTAGCTTCAATCTTTGGTGAGAGTCTTACCTCTGGAACCTCTTTTTAATGTTTTATTTCTAATTAGAGTAGTAAAACCTCACTTGCCCAATTGTAAAAATTATATTGGTTGGTATGTGTAAGATATTTACAATTATCATATGGTAGGTAGTCAGAAAATGTCAGTTCCTTTCTTGTGTAACAGGAATTAACCCGTTATTATCCTGAAAAATGTTGTCCTTTGAATTAATTATTCCTGGTTCATTTGGGCTATCATCTAGAATTTACATATTCCCACACTTATTTCTTCAGAAATTTATTCCATGTATGGACCCACTAAGTCCTTACTTCATGTCTGGGTCACACCAAGACATTGTCCCAGGTCAGGCTCCCTGGAAAGCCAACTCTGAGCCAGGAAGCTTATTGGGAGTGAGGGTTACAGGACTGAGCCCAGGACTTGGCAGAGGGAGAAGTGATGCTTTGATGAAGTCTCCAATGAGGGTGGGGGTGGCCATGGATAGTAAGTACATCAAGTAACTATACAGGGTGTTGGTATAAAAGAGCCACTTACACTGTGATGAGCAGTACAGCTCTGCAACAATGGCTGCTATTCTTACAGGTGCTACTTTTACCTCCAAGTGCACAGTGGGTGACCAGTCACTGTCCTCTTGCCCTTCATAAAAACGACAGACATGCTTCACTTGCCCATGGCCTGACTGTGGTGCTTTTTCTCTCCAGGTGACACAGAAGTACTCCCTGGTGATTGTACAAGGCCACCTAATCTCTGAAGGGCTACTGCTCTTTGGCCTCCAGCACTTCTACATCTGCGAGAACTTCACACTCTCTCCTGTGGGTGATGTCTATTGCACTCGCCACTGCTTATCCAAGTGAGTCTCCACTTCCTCCAGAGATTCTCCTCTGAGCCCCAATTTTCCTTCTCAGATACTCTCACTACTACCCCTCCCACTTTGCTCTTACTATGGACTTAGGTTTGGGCCTGAAATGAACCATGAGATAAAACCAAAGAAACTTAAAGCACAGGCTTTCTTGACTCTGGTTCCCCAAATCTAAAATTTGGAATGGATAACAGGGTGACAGCTCCTCATGCTTCTCCTGATGTGGAGTTCACCACAGGACAAAGGGGTCATTCCTTAGGTTATTTGGGTAATAGACTCCAGTCCCATGAGTTTACTCATTCAACAACTTGTTGATTACTCATTCTTATGTGAGACATCAGGCACTGCCCTTTCATGCCCAGCAAGTGCAAATAGCAGCATGAGAGGTTCCTTTGGAAAGAGTTTGGAGCACACTAGCATCATAAGGCAAAATACGTGATATGGGAGGATCCATTGGAGTTCACCCTTGGAGAGATGGCAAAAGGAAATGGGCTAAGACCTGAATCTTAGAGGATTTGTGTAGAAATTTGAAGAGTTAATTTATACCAACTAATACCAGAGGTCTCTGGCAGGAAATTCCAAGGTTACTTTTTATGATCAAATGTATTTGGTCTATTTGGGTTCAATCAGGCTCTTACTGATTAATTCTCTCGTGCTTATAGACTATGACCATTTAAAGTCAAGTTGACTATATTTGCACTTTTGCTAGAAGTTCAGCTGTTAAGTTGTATGTTTTCAGTTGATCATTGCTTTTGAAAGGATTTGGAAGAGGATTTCTTCATCCAGAGATAAGCCTGGACTTTTCTAAGGCTCAAATGATGACCTGTTAGTCCAGCATTTCTCAAATTAAGTTACACTGAATCACCTGGAAGCCTTGTTAAAACAGATTTTTGGGGGCTCACTTTTTCCCCAGTTTCTAATTTGGCAGACCTGGGGTAAAGACTGAGATTTTTAACAAGTTCTTTTATGCTGCTGATGCCACTGGGCTGGAGGTCACACTTCAAGAACTATTTTAGACTATTGACAGAGGAGTCAGAGTTTTACCTGCCAATAACTAAGAATTTTTAAAAATTAATTTAATTGGGACTTCTGGCCAAGATGGAGGCTTAGGTGGAAACATTGTGCCTCCTCACACAACCAAGTTTAAAGACAACAAAGTTTTAGTAACAAAAACGCAACCAAAACACAGAAAATTGAACTTTACAGAAGTCCGACAACGACGAATCATTCAGCCAAACTGGAAAGATGGGCAGAGTCAGCAGCTGGTGGAGTGGGGTCATGCTGGAAAAAGTGACCGACCATCCCAGGCACACAGACAGTGGTTGGTAGATCCCAGGTGTGGGGTGGCAATGGGCAGACCCAGTGGGGGTACAAGGTGGCTGGCTCACTGAGGTCACACATCCACATGCAGATAAACCAGGCAAAGGAACAAGCTGTGAGACAGACCGTGCAGGCTAGGGCCCCAGTGATGGGAATTAAAGCCCAAAAGCAGCAATTGGAAAGACTTTTGGAGTCGAGGTGCCAGGAGAAGCTCCTAGACTCACAGAGAGTTTGTTGGAGAGACCCACAGGGTCCTGGAGGGTGCACAAGCCCGCACACCTGGGAACCAGCACCAGAAGGGCCCAATTTGCTTGTGGGAAGCAGCAGAGAGGACTGAAATCTCAGAGAGAGCATAATAAACGCCATTGCCCCTCTCTGACCACACCCCCACATACAGCTTCACAACCCACCCCTAGTGTTTCCCCACCCTGGTGAACATATAAGGCTCTGCCTCTCATACTTAACAGGCATGACCTGACCAAAACATTATGGCTCAAGAAGAACAGCTCAAAGTCCCAGAGCCAATACTTCTAAGTGACAGAGATAGCCAACCTATCAGATGTACAGTTCAAAACACTGGTGATCAGGATGCTCACAGACCTGGATGACTTTAGTCACAAATTAGAGGAACAAATGAAGGCTAAACTAAGTGAAATGAAGGGAAATGCACAGGAAAACAATAGTGATGGAAAGGAAACTGGGACTCAAATCAAAGGAGTGAGCCAGAAGGAAGAAAAAATGACCAAACAGAAAAGGATGAAGAAACAAGAATTCAAACAAATGAGGAGAGGCTTAGGAACCTCCAGGACATCTTTAAACATTCCAACATCTGAATTATGGGGGTACCAGAAAGGGAAGAGGAAGAGCAACAAGTGGGAAACTTATTTGAACAAATAATAAAGGAAAACCTCCCCAATCTGGCAAAAGCAATAGACTTCCAGGAAATCCAGGAAGCTCAGAGAGTCCCAAAGAAGTTGGACCCAAGAAGAAACACACCAAGGCACATCAGAATTACAATAGCCAAGGTTAAAATGAAGGAGAGAATCCTAGAAGCAGCAAGAGGTAAGGGGAAAGTCACCTACAAAGAAGTTCCCATCAGACTATCAGCTGATTTCTCAAAAGAGACCTTACAGGCAAGAAGGGGCTGGAAAGAAGTATTCCAAGTCATGAAATCTAAAGACCTACATTCAAGATTGCTCTATCCAGCGAAGCTCTCATTTAGAATGGAAGGACAGATAAAGTGATTCGCAGCTGAGGTCAAATTCAAGGAGTTCATCATCACCAAGCCCTTATTACATGAAATGTTAAAGGAACTTATCTAAGAAAAAGAAGATAAAAATATGAATAGTGAAAGGATAGCAAACTCACAGTTATTAAGAACCACACCTAAAATAAAAGCAAACTAAGAGAACAGCTAGATAAGGAGCAGAACCATAGAAATGGAGATCATATGGAGGGTTAGCAACAGGGGAGTGGAAGGAGGAGAAGGGAGGAAAAGGTACAGAGAATAAGTAGCATAGATGGTAGGTAGAAAATAGACAGGGGGAGGGCAAGAATAGTATGGGAAATATAGAATCTAAAGAACTTGTGGACATAAACTAAAGGGGGGCAATGGTGGGAGAGGGGGAGTACAGGGTGGAGGGGAATGAAGGCAGGGAAAATGGGACAACTTTAATGGCATAACTAATAAAATATGTTTAAAACAAAAACAAAAAACTGGGAAGGCAGTGCAGCCCTCTGCAGGCTAGAGCGGGTTCTGAGGTGATAAGAAAGAGGGCATAAGAAAGAATTCACAAAGTCCTATGAAGCCTGCTTTGCTAAGAGTGCTTTCATTCATATGATAAGTGTCCAAGCAGGAAATGAGTATGTCTCTCAAAGTTTTTGCAACCCCCTTACATGACAGACACTGACTCAGATTAAGCCCTCAGATCTCTTTGAAATGTTAACTATTGTTTGATTTTTGCCACCTGACACTGATTGATGAGCTTTAAAAAATTTATTTAATCATTGTTCAAGTACAGTTTTCTGTCATTTACTCCCATTCCAGCCCAACCCCCAGTAACTCAGAATTTTTTTCTCAGTTGCCATATTATTTTCTATGTCACAAAACAGGAGTTTAAAGAGTGTGGAAAAGTTGTTGGGAAGCACTGGGGCTGGTGAGCTGGGACGGGAGTAAAAGACAGAAAACTGGACTTGAACAACAATTAAATTTAAAAATTTTTTTAAAGAAATAAAAAAAGAGTGTGGAAAAGTAGATGTCAGCCCACCCTCCTTTGATTTAGTTTTGCTTTAAAATGCTTGGCATTTTTCTTTCTGCTGATTTTCATCTTTTATTCATACCAAATGTTTACCGATTGCTGTGAGTCTTCTGTGAATTTCCAAGGCAGGAGAGCATAATTAATACTTGGCACACACATCTCATCTTATTGTTCATGTTTTATTGATACTGACGAGTATGGACAATGCGTCTGCAGACTTGCCTTTCTGAGAGCTAATGAAAGCTTTCTACTGTACCTATATTCATGGTGGGCACATGTGATAAAAACTGGCACAATCCATTGCTTCCCTCTTCACCTCTGAATTAAATCCCATTAGTGTTACACAAGATCTTATTGATTAGAAAAATTTTGTTTATGAGCTGCATCTAATAATGATCAAATTGACTCAACCTGTGCTTTTAATCGAAGCCCAGTTTTCAGATTGTATGTACTCACTTGACTTGGAATGAAAAGGGAGATTCCCATGTCTGGAAATGTACTTTTCCAGAATGCATGTAGGAGTATAGGGAAAACGAATTATACCTTGGAATGTCATTTGGGGATTTCATAGGTAATTTCATTCACCATACCTCAAAGAAGTATTTGTTAACCCAGACAGTGCTTTCTCTCTGAGGTCTTGTCTACTGCCCTAAGAAACTGCCAGCACTCATGTGGAGGCAGTTTTCAGAGACAGACAGGCTATAGATCATGTCAGATCAATGGGGATCAAGTCTTGTTTTGACCATGGAGACTAAGGAAGATACATAAACAAGCCAGTTAAAAATAAAGCTAAGTCAACCCTGAAATGTTTCTCCAAAAGACTGCCATCAAATTGAGTGCAGTTGAGCATTAGACCTTGAAAGAGGCTCTCTGATGTACCATAAAAATATCAAAATAAACTCAAGAACACTGCACATCCTCCAGCAGAGATTGGAGTTTGCACTTTGGAACTTTTCTTAGAAACTAAGAACATTTCTATCAGGTTTTATTTTGTTTTCATAGTATCTCTTTTTAGCTGAATAAGATGACTCTACTAGGTCACTAGGACTGCTGTAACAAAATAGCAAAAGCTGTGTGACTTTAAAAAACAGATATTTATTGTCTCACAGTCCTGGAGGCAAGAAGTCAAACAGCAGTATGGGCAGAGCCACTCCACTTCTATAGCTGTAGAGGAGGATCTTTTCTTGCCTCTTTTAGCCTCTGGTGTTTCCTGGACATCCTTGGTGTTCATTTCCTTGTAGATACATCACTCCAGTCATTGGCCATCTTCTCTCTGTGCGTCTTCACATGATCTTTCCTCAGTGCATGTCTATCTCTGTGTCCAAGCTTCCCGTAAGGAGACTAGTGATATTGGATGAGAGCCTATCTTAATAACTTCATTTTGATTTTATTACCTCTGGTATTTACCTATTTTAATTTATTTTTTTAGAAAAATTTTTATTGTTATTCAAGTATAGTTTTCTGTCTTTCTCTTCCACCCCTCCCCACCACTCCAGCTCTTTCTGCCTCGGTCCTCCATTTCCACCCCCCTTGTTGTTGTCCATATATCCTTTCTAATTGTTCCTGCAACCCCTTCACCCTTTGCCCCCATTATTCCCTCCCCTACCCCTCTCATCATTGTCAGCCTGTTCTCAATTTCAATGTCTTAAGCTATACTTGGCGTGCTTGTTTGTTTTGTTGAATAAAGTCTCATAGTGAGGTATTTGTGGGGTAGGACTTCAAAATATCTCTTTGGGAGGAAATAATTTAAATCATAATATTGTCATTCAAGTTCACAATTTAATTTGGTAGAAACCCAAACCATCCAAATAGCTCTTTGAAACAGGGTGCTTTTAATCAGATATTTCCTCCCTATCAGTCAACATTTTAAGACATCATTTCTCCATTTAGTTTAACTCATCAAATACTCATTGAAAATCTGTCTTGTACCAGGCACTGTGATAGATTCCGTAGATACAAAAAGGTGAGTCAGATGTGGACTGATTCTGGTAAAGAGTTTGTGATCTAGTGAATGATTCTAGGTATGAATTTTAGGTATAAATTCTCACAATAATTGAATATTAGGTGTTAATAATAATTGGATAATGAAAGTGTCATTGTCATCCTCACCAATGCCTTGACCTGTGATGCTGTTTGACCTAAGCCAAGGATAGGAGCTAGAATTACCTCTATGGCCTCACTGGGAGTCAGACAAGTTTATGCAAAACTGATCTTAGCCCCAGAGGGCGGCATTAATAATGAACTAAGGGCCTCAGACAGCAGTAGGTTTGAATTAAAGCCTTTAGGCAGAAGCATCCAGAATAAGAGCCACACTTGTATTTGATCAGTCCTGTAGCAACATGGCTCAAAGCAGGAGGCCTGAGAAGATTGTACCAAGAAGGGGCAGGAGGAGATGCAGAGGCCTGTAATCCATCCCCTTGAGGTCTGGCTATGCAGGGGGCTAAACAATGGCTCAGGCTGTGCCCCTTGTGAGCAGCCTTCCCTTCTACCCAGCAGTGGCCATTAAGCACAGTAATAAGTCTAAGCTGTTAGTATAACAGGTGCTGGACCACCACCCCTGACCACTGGCTGTAGAAGTCCTACTGGTCTGGCCTGAGGGCCTGCTCTCTTTCTCAGTTTCCCTTGGAAGCATGGTCTGTAGGCTAGCCATTGAGGGCTGTAGTTGGAGCTGGGATGGGGAAGAGGTGAAACACAATCTTCTCACCTATTATGCCACCATGTACTGGTGTGTGGGACTCCTTCAGCTCTTGATTCTTTGGGGCTGCAATTGGTACTCATGCTTCTTGGGGGCTGAGGGGCTTTTGAGGCCCTTCATTTTTCAGGCTCATTCTATCAGAGCGTCTGTGGTCATGTACACAATCTAAAATTACCACATAACTCAGATATTCAGAAATGTAACTGTCCATAACTGAAATCACTTTATTTCTCAAGTCCCCTTTGTATTGGTGGTAAAAGCTTCATGTGGTTACCTAAAGGTATTTCAGTTACTTCCAGTGCAGAAATTGTTCTTTTTAGGTTAAGTACTCATCAAACTTATGATTCTCCCTACTCTTCTTCCTTTCTTGCCAAGGGAAGTTATTTAATTCTGGGAGCTGCCCTGGTCTGGCCTCTACTGCCATGTGTCTGATCTCTGGCTCTGGGCATGTGCTCTGGAGGCCATTGCTGAGGCTGTGGTCATTGTTTCCCAGCCCACTGGCATCTCAGACCTGCTGCACACCCTTGTGGGGGCTCAGTGTTCTCTACGACTTTCTCCCATGCTATACTAGATGTCACCATACCACGCCCCATGCCACCCGAGGTCATGCCTAACTTGAACTTTTTTATCGGGTCTTGTCATATTTCTGCCCTATTTCCAGAGCCTGAATTTTCTCCAAATATGACTAGGGTATCTCCTTCAGTCTTCTCCTACCCCCTCAATCCACTTGGACCACTGAACTGAGAGAGATTTTGTACATGCGTGCTCTTTTGCTCTTCATTCAGTGCCACTGTCAGTCCTGGAATCTGTCCCCTTGCTGCTCACTCACCTGGTGAGGCTGATGCCCCATCCTACACCCCAGGGCAGGGCTAATGAGGACAGGTGCTTAGGGTTTATCAGGTCAGTGGGTACTGACACCCTGGTCGGCAGTGACTGTAGCATCCCAAGTATGTCCTAGAAAATCAGGTATGGCTGTGGGACAGAAGGGGGACAAGCCCACTAGATACCCTCTCACTGCATGTCTTATTTTCTTTTCAGCATCAGTGATCCATTCATTTTCAATCTGTGCAGCAAAGACAGGTCCTCCAACCATTACTCATGCCAGCGCCACAGCTATGGTGACCTCAGGGAGCTCCGGCAAGCACGCTTTCTCCTGCAGGTATGCGTCCAGAGGGGGAAGGGGAAGGTCATCTTGTCATTAGACTGGTGGTCCAGGTGCCATCAATGCCCCATCTGAATGTGAGGTACACATGCCCACGACCCCTTCCTGCCTATGTATAGCCCAGTGACCTATGGGACATACCTGTACATTCCCCTGGCTTATGTTGGGTCTGGTTCCCTGGCTCAGGGTTCTCATTTCTTCACTCTCACTCCAGCCCCTGACACTTGACTATCAGGAGCTTGTTGCTCCATGTCATCTAGAATCCAGCCTGTTTGTTTTATTTTCCCCTTGACATGCCCAGATCTTCCTTAGATATTCAGGAAAACTGGACAGGGCAGCTCCATTGTCCCAGGGCAGAGCTGATGCCTGAGAGTTGAGTGCTGGTCTGCTCTGCCCTGTTCTGATCCTATGGACCTCTCGGCTGGCTGCCACCCTCCGTCCACCCTCCCCACAGTCTCACCTATCTCCAAGTTCTTGGTAATTTACTGGGCCAAGCAGTTTAGAGATGTACTGATTGTTCCTTCCAGCAAGGGTCCCAGAGCCACATTCAGGGAGTCTTTGAAGGGCTCATCCACATACTAAACAGCATATTTCTTTCAGAGGCAAAGCTCTGCCATCAGCTAGTCACAGCCCAATCTTCTGGTCCCACCTAGAGTATAAATGGCTCAGTTTAGAAGTATCAGCTCAGTGGCAAAGGGAGGAAGAACTGTGGGTCTCCCAGTGGCTTCAGACATATCTGACCATTACCAGCTCAACCTCTGCAATAGCAAAGCTGCACTCATGCCCAGGGGCCTCCCGGGCAGCAGGCAGGGGAAGATCAGGATCCACCCCATAGGAAAAGAAGGGCCAGACCCTCACTGCCTACCCTCTCTGTGGGTGTTTGTTCTGCAAAGTCCAACAAGGGGCAATGATATGCCCTAAGGAGAGAATAAGAATGCCTTTCATTCATAAATTTCTTTGGTTGTGTGATTTAGCCTGTGATCCTCTTGAGGTATCCTTATTATTCTCTGAAACTACAACTCAGGGAGGACTCTTTGTTGTGCTCATTTTAAAAAGCATCAGAAATGACAAAGGTCCAGCAAGCTGCTGGCATCTGACCAGCTCTCTCTCTCTCTTCCTGCCACTCCACTGCTTTTGCCCACAAAGTGCTGGTTCTCATTTTGCCTGATCTTCTTGCACTTCTTCACCAAGAGTTGAATGAGAAGCGGATGAGTTGCAAAGGTCCTGCCCTGAAGGTTCAGGGCAATATGGCCAGCATGGACCTAGTCCTGACCACAACCCCACCACCTAGACACAATGGGGCACCTCTCTGGACTCCTGTTTCCCTCTAGTAATCAGGGGACTGCATCTTGTCTTTTCTACCACTACATATATAGGACCTAGCACATTTTAGGGGCATATACTAAGAATAAAAAGTATTTTTTAATGATTATATATTTACCTCACAGATAGTACATAGTAGCAAATAGGTATCAGTAAGTGAGCTTCTTTTCCCCAGCAAACAGGTGACTGTTTCCAGATGGTTGGCTAGCTTGAGAGTGGCGGAAGCCAGATTTGGGAGTGGTGTGTGCACAACCGGGGGGGCAGGGGGCTGTGTGCACAAAGCCATCACAGGTCCAGCCCTGGATTATCCCAGGAGGAGGTCTGAGCATAGGCACTCAAGGTTGCTGGGCAAGCCACAGCTTCTATAGATTCTATATTCATCATCTATTTGCACATTATTTATATTTCTGTTTATAGAAAAAAATCTGAGGCTCTTGTGTGCACCTGTAGAGGACAGTGGTTTGCCTAATCATTACAAATATTTTTCCTCTGCCCAGGAGCCCAGTGAACTGAACTTTGAGAACTCCATTCCAGCTAGGCAGAAGGAGGACCAGACTGTTGTTGGATGCAGCAGTCCATCTTTGAGTCTGACCTTGACCCACCCCATGTGGTGGATGTTCACTGGTCAGGAGATAAGTCTCAATCTTCTGTAAATCAGGCACTTAAAGGAAATCAGTCTCTCAGTTTCTAAGTTCCATTCTTCTGGGGGCACTTGCATGAGAGTCTTCATTTCATATCCTCTGGTTCCATTTTAGATTGAAATTCTTTCACACTTGACACAGATACCCAATGATCTATTGCCAATAGCTCTGTTGACTGAGGTATTGCCTTTGAGGAAACTTCAGGATAAGTACATGGGTTTCTCTTTGTAGGACATTGCCCTGGAGATCTTTATCCAAAATGGATATTCCAAGTTTTTTGTCTTCCACAACAGTGATCGGAGTAAAGTCTTCAAAAGGTAAGCATCTGAAAACCCTCAGAGGAAGCTGACCCAGAGCTGAGAGCAGAGGAACAGAGTCTGCTCAGCTCACTCTGAGGAGAACTGTTCAAACCCACAGTGAAGAGGATGTAGGCTAGACACAAGGAAGAGATTACTGACCCACAGAGCTGATGAATTGTGGAACAAAGTATACAGGAAACTAGAGAATCACCTTTTCTATGTCCTGGGAAACAGGCTCCTTTTCATGGACTGAAGTACCATGTTTTGCTGTGTACAATGCACAATTTTTGCCCAAATTTTTCAGGGAAAAGTAAGGATGTACATTATACACGGGTAGTACTAATTCTGCATTTATATAAATGTTGTTTTTCTTTTATTTATGCTTATGGTTTGAAAGTATAACTCTAGAAAACAATAATGATATCTGTATGCAAAATAATCCTTGGAATATAATAACTGGTTTTGTTTCTAAATATAAATAAATAAAAATTGAATTAAAAATTAAAATAAAAGATTTTTTCCTAGAAGTACAGGCCAAAAACATGGGTGCATGTTACACATGGCAAAATATAGTAATTTAGGACGGTAATTCCTAAAGAGAGGAAAAAAATGTGCAGACACAACAGATTTAAGAAACTGGCTGTTTAATGGGCTTTCCAGAATTTTCTGGCTTTATATTGTAACTTTCCAAGTAATTTTTCTTGGCTTAAACTTTTTTTTACTCCAGTTGCCAATTTTAGGTTGTTCTAATTTTATATCTCATTGGAAAGAATTCCAAACCCTGATTTTCCACTTCTGCATAAACATCCTTTTTCTTAAAGACAGAAGTCTGCTGTTTTAGTTTAGCTTTTTTTCTCCAAATAGATTAATCAATCTAAGAAATGTAAGCCAAAACATTTCATACTGATATGTATTTATTTTTATTATTCTTAAATTTATAAATAATTAGAGATTTATAGAGAGAATCTAGAAGGGACAGAAGAAAAGGTAGTTTCTTAGCTATAAGCAGACCACACAGAAGTTGGGGCAGGGATGTTTGGCTCCACTTTGGGCAGGAAGTTGTGAAGTAAGATTTGACATCCTGACCTGAATGTCCCAGGACATTTTGTGCTCAGAGGTTCTAGCCTTGCCTTCCTGTTGGCCTTGGCTAGTCACTGGCACCAGGGCCAATTGCAATGTGCACGAAAAAAAGTCCTGCAGAGAGTCTGTGTGCACCAGTCTGGGCACATCTCCATTAGCTACGAGCTTCCCTTTGAGGTTCTTTCAAGAACTACTGTTATATTGCCTCTAAAGTTTTTTTCAAGCTCCATTTTAGACTACACTAAAGGAATAGACACACAATGTTGAATATCATGTTCATTTTTCCTTGTGATATCTGGGTGTTAAAGTTTTTTACAGTTAATCTAGAAGTCATGCATCTATAGCCCATTTAATGAACCTTGCCCACCTGTACCCCACCCTACTCAGGGAGATTTAAATTAAGATTGCATTTGCCCCCCGATCATAGCAGTATTTTGTGAAATTGGCAATGGAAATGTAAAGTGCCTGGCCCAGAGGAGGTATCTGAAACATATTTTTTTTTATTGTAACTGTTGTTTTATTGTTATGATTGGTATTATCAAGGCTTGAATGTGTAATGCTTTTTGAATATGTGTGCAAGGTTTGAAGGTGTTGTGTGTGCTTCAGATCTGTACCCAGGCCTGGTTCTCAGTGCTCACAGCCTGGACGTAGGGTGGGGCCGGGGGGGTCAAGAACCAAAGCTCTAGCCTAGCTCTGAAAATGTCTCCCTGGTGGTAGAAGGGTCTCATCTCTGCTGATAAAATAATCCTTTTTAATTTGTTTGCTTGTTTAGCTTCTGCTCTTTTCAACCCAGCTTGAAGGGGAAAAGCATTATGGAGGAACCCATCAATCTAAGGTAATGGTGTGGGGAGAGGTCCAGCCATGCTCTGGGGGCATGGTGTTAGCCTTGCTTTGATTTCATTTGCCTGATCCTACTGTAAAGTTGTCAGGCAAAAAAACACGCCAACCCACCTTCTCATTAGTTTTCTCTCCCTCACCCCAGACTTTCTCATCCTGCTCCTGAAGTTCCTTCTGCCAATTACACCTCTGAACCAGACAGGATGTCCCATATGCTTTGTGGCTTTTTCAGACCACAATAGCAGGGAGCAGACCTCTGCCTGTGGTGGGTGGGAGCAGGTTACCAAAGAAGTGCCATCCCAGGGCAGCCTTGGCGTCAGGCCCTCAGGCAGGGCTGTGAGCAGTTCCAGGACTGCCCTTCCTATATGAGGCTCTCAGAAAGCTCAGAAGCGAAATTCATGTATGATGGTGTGTGAATCATATTTAATTTATGAATTTATGGTATGGAGTATATTTCCCAGGCAATGAAATGCTTACAGCCCCTTCCCAAGGCACCCCTTACAAGTACCCAGTTTTCCAGAAGGAAAGTTGGGAATCAGTTGGGTCATTTAGGAATGAGAACAAAGGAAGATAGATGTTCGTTGCTAGTTTTCTCCAGGAGTGTGTGGGGATAGGGGAGGGAGGGATTTCCCCAGTAGTGGTATTCAAAATAATTATACTGACTATGGAATGGGGGCCACCAAATCATGCAAAATTATTTATTGATAGTTTGTTACATGTGATGTTCACTACTTGACTGAGCAATAAGCAAAATATTGAAATTCTTCTCTGCCCTCATATTCTCTTGAGGAAGATAGAAAACAATTTAAATAAATGAAATACAAAGCATATTAGATAATAAGTATAAAATATACAGTAGATAGAAATAGGTACTGAAATCTTAGACAGGATAGTAAGGGGACACCTCAGCAAATAGTGTCAGTAAGGGGACACTATTTAATTTAAGACCTGAACAAAATGGGGAGACCAGTTATGCAAATAACTAGGGAAAGAGCATTTCAGGCCAAGGGAAGAGCAAAGCAGGGACAGCATGGTGGCATGGCTGGGACCAGAGTGGTTGATAGCTGGGAGTCAGTGGGAAGAGAGGTGAGAGAGATAATAGGGCTAGCTCATGGAAGCCTTGGGGTTCACAGTAACGGTGTTGGCATATTGGAGGAATGGTGTGGCCAACTTATACTTTAAAAGACTCACCTGTCTGCTGTTGTAGAATAGATCACAGGGGGATAAAGGCAGAGCTGGGAGGCCAGTTAGGAGGCTTTGCAGTGATCCAGGTGAGAGATGATGACTTAGAACCAGAGGGTGACCACAAAGATGAGGCAAAGTGCTCATATTATTGAAATGATTTGAAGGTACCTCTAATGGCCTTTGTTGACAAATCAAGTGTGGACCATGTGCCTGTGAGAGAAAGGACTTAAGGATAAGCCCAAAGATTTAAGTTTGAGTTGCAAAATGAAATGGGGAAGAACACAGGAAGAATTATTTTTGGGTGTGGTAACCAGAGGAATCCTGTTTTGGACCATGTTAACTTTGAGATGCCTGCCAGGCATTGAGGTAGATGTGTCATGTTGGTCAAAGGATAAATGAATTTTGAGTTCATGGAGAGGTCCAGGTGAGAGGTAAGTTTGGAATAGTATTTAAAGCATGAGACTGGGTAAGATTACCAAGAGAATGAGTACACATGGACAAGAGGTTTGTCTCTGAGGTACATCAGCCTTTAGTAGTTAAAGACCTGGGGAGGAATAAGCAGAGAGAGGAAGGAGTGGTCAACTGTGCTACTCATCAAGTGTTGTTCATAGGCCAAGTAAGATAGGAACTGAGAAATGACCATTGATTGCAACATGGGGGTCACTAATGACCTTCGAAATATCCATCTGAGTGGCCACCAAAAGAAGCTCCCTGTGGTTTCAGGCAATACCTTTTTACTTGGCAGATTATAAAGAAGTCTAGGACATGCCCGGCAATGGTCTAGGAGACCTGGGTAGCAGGAACCCACCAGAGGTGGAGTAGCTGTTTACCAAGTGTACTGGATGAACAGTTGGTAAAGTTCAATAATAGTAGAAACCTAATTGTATATATAAATTGAATATTAGCCCTGGTGATCTCATATTGTTTATGTTTCATATAAATCTTAATTTCCATACTTGGATTACTCTGCAATATTTCAATGCAAGTGGTGAAAGGACATTTCAAACTAACTGAAGCAGAAAAGAAGATTCATCACCTCACATACCTAAAGGCCAAAATAGGTCTGGCTCCAGGCATGTTTATTTTCTGGTGTCAGGAAGTCCTCAGGACACTGTTGCTCTCTATCTCGCAGTGAGAATGTCCTCTGGACTAGCTCTCTTTTCAGCAGGTTCTCTTAGCAGAAGGGCATCACTGCCCCCCAAAAGCATCAGGCTGGTAATCAATTACATAGGAATTCTGCCACACAAGGAATGCTCTGTCCCAGTAATATCAGCAAAAGTCCCCAAAGGTAATTTTCATCTGCCCAAGTTAGGTTAGTGCTCATTCCAGAACCAATCAAGTTCTTTCATAGGCCAGGTCAGGGTGCCCACCCAGCTTGGGGAGTCAGTCCCACACAATAGTAGAGGCCACACTGAGGATATGGAGGTTTCCCAGGAAGATCCAGGTGCTGTTGCCATAAGATGGGTGAACGCTGAAGTGTCAGCAAAAGCAGATGGCCATCCACTGCTCCAACCAGAAAGCTCCTCCCCCAGGGACTGCAGCAGTCATGGGTTAGACGTCCATTTTCTCATTCCCTGAAACTCCTCTTTTTTTGCATCAACTTTGAAACAGGTCACTTCACTGAACCCCATTTGTCTCTACAGATCACCCTCTTATAAAGTATTAAGTGTGTAATATCTCTCAGTGATCATGTAGCTGTCCCTACAGCTGTGAGCAGTACCCTATCCATTTCTATTTTGTCCTCAGGGTCTTAGAGGTGCTCTGCCCCAACAATGTGTACCTTTATCCACACAGGTAAGGTTCTAAATTTCTGCCCCAGATAGAGAGAGAGTAGATATACATGAGGAACAGAGGAGCTAAACTATGGCTATGGCCACTATATTGGTTGTCTATACAAAAATTACTGCCAAGTGGGACAGATCATTCTTGCCCTGGGGATGAGTCAAATGTGCAGAAATTACTTCTCACTCATCCATAGGGATAATCCTAGACACCAACCTGTGTACCACTTTGCACCTGTGGGACAGTTGGGCAGTCTGTGGATTTTATTTCCACTGTGTTAATTTTTTTTCATTGTGGCCATTTGAGCCTATTGGAGCAGGATGTTCCAGGGCCACTCCATGCTTCCCTGGCAGAACACCAGCATAACTCCAAGCATAGAGATGCTTGGAAAATACAAAATGGGTAAGCTGCTAAGGTCAGTTGGGAACAATGCATAGTGTTCCAAGAAATAGGAGAAGGGGAGCTTTGACAAAATAAGGAAGCCCCAGCCAGATTGTTGGTGCTAGGCTTTGAAACCTGGGCACAGGTGAGGCTGTGCAGCAACAGCCAGCCATGTCCTTTGGGATCAAACCAATTTGGACTCAGAGTAGGTACTCAATAAATTCGAATTTCTTTGCTTAGTTTAAGAATCACCTACTGTCTTTTGGGGGCATGTTTATGGAGTGATTGATTAAAAACAGGCAGCTTCGATATAGTTTGCTCCTTGGCCTCCCTCATTTCCTGCCCTCTCTCAAGAGCCCCTGCATACCTTTAGAACTTCAGGATGGGGAGGCAGTGGTAGCTCCCAGCCTTAGGCTGGCCAATGTTTCTGACATTTTTAAATTTGACTTCCAAGGGTGATGCCTAGTCCCTACTATTAGTCTTTAAAAATGACAAGCTGTGATTTGGACACTCTAGTGATCATGAGCTTCTCTGCATTGAATAAGGTGCATGGTCCATTCTGAGAGTTTTCAACTGGTCCAAGATGCTTGGCTTGTTCTATAGGTTTTCATACTTCCAGCCTCCAGCTCTTGGTGACTGACTTAGCCCCTCTGGAGGCCATCCCCCACACATAGGAAAACAGAGTCTTTGAGTACCAGAGATTTGCCTAGAATTCCAGTGGTCATGGCAGCTTTCCTAATTGAATTCCAAGGAGCTTCGTGAGACTGGGTCCTGAAGAGAAAAATACTTGCAAAGTTTGGATAAGCCTAGGATCTGTAATCCACCTGCGTCTCCCCATGGTACAAGACTAGGCCATTCTGAAAGCAGCATGGCAGCATAATCAAACATCTGTGGGCTGCTGGGCTCTGCAAGCTGACAGGGGTTTCTACTCTAAAACTAGCTAGACCCCTTGGATAGCATGACAGCCAGAGAACTCCTTCATGGTAGACACAGACAGGCTCTGCTGAGAGGTGAGGGGACCAGCCAGAAAACAGCAAGAATAGCTGAAGTTATAGGGAAAGGACAGCTTAGTTTGGAATGTCAGTGAAAATAAACATATATCCTGACAATTAGAGTTATCTGTGGCCTTCCACAAAGGTATGCAAAAAGCTTCAAAATTAAATATAAGGTGCAATGATCTTTTAAACATTATCCCAGAACTCCTTTAAAGGAGCAAAAAAGTAAATGTGATCATAAACCTGAAGTCATCCAGTTATTGTAATTGTCCTGAAACTATAAAAGAACAAAGCTGTTGTGTTGGGTTACATAATTTTCCAGTGACAAATAACAAGAATCAAGGGGATTTTTATATTTCTCCTCACAAAATATATTTTCTTTGGTCACTGAATATCAATTGCGCCCTTGCCTAAAAGGTAGTGGGTACCAAAGAAGTTAATTTTGTTTTTATAAAATTTGAAGAAAGAGCACTGCAGAATATAATTCTCTATATTGTTTCTCTGAAAAAGTAGGGCCCTAACATTTGGACTTATTTGTATACAGACATTTCTTTGAGAAGCTAGCATAATCTAGCTCAGTTGCATTGCTTCCCACTGATCTCAGTTCATATTGAGTGGAGAGTTTAGAAAATTCAATTTAGAAAAACTCAGATAC